GGGTTTAGGGTTTAAGAGTTCAGGGTTTAGGGTTAAGGGCTTAGGGTATAGGGCTTAGGGTTTAGAGTTTAGGGCTTTGGGTTTAGGGTTTGTTTAGGGGTTTTGGGTTTAGGGTTTAGGGCTTAGGGTCTGGGTTTAGGGTTTAGGGTTGACGACCAGGAGAAGCTGAAGAACTCTTTGGCGACCCGTCGAAGCCAAGCAGCGGGAAATGTCTGAATAATTGTCTGAACACGGTAATCGCTAAACCCTAAACCCTATACAGGACTTATGGTAGAAGCCAGACAGTTGGAACATCATTCTCCTCATGCCCTTAAGGTAAAATATAGGGAAACCCACCACTAATCATCCTAGATCCATGTTCCAACCTGCTGGGGCTCACTATAACACTACATTTAAGCTGAATTGTAAATGGCAGGGTTTAGGGTTTAGGGGTTTCCGGTTTAGGGCTCAGGGCTAAAGCTTATGCCCCCTTCTAAAACTTGAAGCCCACTCCCCTAGCGAGAGGCATCGTCACCGACTAGTGTGTGAGCCGAAACTCTGAAACCCAAAGCCCTAGACACTCAACCCCGAAGCCGCCCTTAAGGACCCCGGGGAGGGGGGGGGGGCATCTTCAGGCCACTTGCATAATTGTCAGGGGGATCCAAAAATCGAAGATCCTTAAACTTGTCAGACATTGTGATGCAGGTTTCAAAGGGTTCAGGATCTTTTGAATAAGCCCTAACTTCGAAACGCCCAAAGCTCTGTCTGGCTTGAATGTGGGAGGTGCGACGCGATCTTGGCCACCGAGACAATGAGTGACTTTGCCGGTGTAGTTGGAAGGCAAATTAAGAAGTGGGATCAGGGTATGGGGTGAAGAAGAGAAAAGCAAGACCAGCAAAACCCCCTCACGGTTTTTCGGAGGAAGATCCGCTGTTAAGAGGGTGCGAATATTTTATTTAGAGGCCTGTCGTAAGGCTTTTGAGGTTTTTGGGGGCTTTCGGGGTTCAGTGTGGGGACTTTGGGGGTGTTGCCACGGTTTCAGATAGCGCGTTTTGCTGCGGTCTGCCGGTACTGCGGCTATGGATCCAAAATAGAGAGCTAAAAACCGGCTCTTTACAAGGTTCTGCAGGGTTCTATGTAGGTTTCAAGTATTCAGGTAACTGTACTTGCAAAGTAAGGCCTCGGACAGCGTCTAGGAGTAAGGGCTGAGACTGGGTGTTCCTTAGCAGTAGGTTTTTTGGTTTTATTTCTCAATTCTAGTTTTGCTTTATAAGGGAGTATTGAGGTTGTTACGCACGTTTTGGGTTAAAGGGGCTCCTACACCCCAACCCTAAACGCCTTTTGGATTATGGTTTAGGGTTTCGGGTTTAGGGCTTAGGGTGTACCTGCAGTTGGGCTAAAGTGTCTAGACTGGTTTGACTCGGACACAGATGTCAGGCTTCTTGGGTTGCAAGCTGCGCCCGTACCCCGGCTACGCTCCTCGATGACAAACCCAGAGGGTCCGAGTATCCATATAGTAAGGTTTTAGGCCCGAAAATCCATGCTTTGATTGGGTTTGGGGCCTTGAAACTCTACTATTGGGTACTTGGACCCTTGGGGAAAAGCAATGTGAGACCGTCTGCGGGCACATGCAGCGATACAACATATATCCCTCCCACCACTCTAATTCCCAGATAGACCCTTAAGAAGCTACCTACTTTTCTTCTGCAGAGCCTCGGAATGCGGCTTTTTCGGCCCCACAAGCCTCCCAGCCGAGGAAGCGGCTCAGATTGCTGGCGCCTGGCGAGAAACCCCCTCATACTCCTTTCAGGGAGCCTCGCTATGAAGTGGAAAAGATAGTGCGTGCAGCGCCGGACACGCTGCGCGAGACAACAGTGATTTCGCGCATTCCTATCACTCCTGCGGCTTACATATGGGATTCGGACTCGGCAGAAGAGCCTGAGGGGCGTACAGCAGCTTCAAGCTCCACGGGGTCACGGAGATGATCTGCTCCCTCGGCCGAGCGGGCGAGCTTGAGGAGTCGGTGACGGCAGCTTTAGTTTGGCAGAGGTTTACCCTCTCTTGTCTTGCTCTCGAATCGGGCAATTCGTCCCAAGACTCTGTCGAGCCCATAAGGGCTTTATGGGGATTATGGGGACTATAATGGGGCTCCTGTTTAAGGGTATTATATGTAGGGCTGTTTAGTAGGGCTTCCGCCGTAAAGGGATTCATAAACCCCAAACCCTAAACCCTACATCCCGAACCCCAACGGACGGCCACCCCAGAAGCTGCAAGAGCCATGCCAAGGAGGCTCGAAAGGCTGGAGGCGAT